ATTTCAAATTAAAGTACAAAAAGTTCTGATATTTGTTCCATAACAAAACTTGACACCGTCTATACTTGTGTACTCTGAAAACTATTTCCATAAGAGACACAAACCTTTATAAGGAACAGAAAAATCCTGTTTTCTTGAAATAGAAGTATTAAAAAGCCAATCATGTTGCAATTATAAAGTGAATTATTTCCTCACAATAACATTGGCCACATGTTTACAAGATTGGACTCCATAACATAGTGATAGGTATGAATATAATTAGCAAAAAAAATTGGCAGTGCGTGCCCCCTTCAACTATTCTCTTTCAAGTAAATTATTCATTTCTTTGTAACTATATACTTAATACAAGACTTTATTCTATTTGTTAATTGCCTTAAAAGTACACACACCAGACACACCCACAAGATACAAGTGTATGTCACACTGTATACTACACTAATTAAAATAATAATCCTGTGGATATGGTGGAACATGCCTGTAACTCCAGGACTTAGGAGGCTTAGGTAGAAGACTCGTGAGCTTGAGGCCATCCAATGCTACATAGTGAATGGACAGCCTGGGCTACACAGCAAGACCCTGTCTTTAAAAATTGAAAAATAAACAATAAGGACTGTGGATGTGAGTGTCTCAAGATAACTAAAGGAACAGTTAGTGCTTATATTGTTTGATCAATGTTGCATGCCTGTAGCTAGTAATCTAAGCAATTGCTTCAAATATGCAATATAATAACCATTGTCAAATTCCTGTCATCTTGTTTTGACATTCTGTATTGGCTTTATTGTTTTTTTACTCCCTTTAAAATTAAAAAATTATACAATGACTGTGGATGTGAATACCACTAGTAAGCAAAGAATCTTTGAGTATCTATAGTCACCTATAAATGCCTGATAGTATGATTGAGTATGTACCCATCAGATGCTTTATATTAAGAAAGACTAGACACTACAGTATAACTCAGTATTAGAGTACTACATCTCTAGAATACCAGAAGGTCTGCATTTACTCTCCAACAATGGGAGGGAAAAAGACATAGAATGGGTAGTAATTTAGACTTGGAACCTCTTTCCTCTCATCTCGGCTTCCTGGTTTCCTTCCATCACTAAAAGTGTCTATATTTGGTCAGAGTGAGTGGCAATCAATTGTAATAAAGAATGCCCCCTTTGGGAATCTATTATTTTCTGGAAAAAAAAAAAAAAAGAAAAAAAGACCAGCGCGCGGGAGGCAGATGCAGGAGGATCCTTGTGAGTTGGAGACCAGCCTGGGCTACCAGCCTGAATTGCATAGTAAGACCCTATCTCAAAAAAAAAAAAAAAAAAAAAAAAAAAAGAACGAAAGAAAGAAAAACCAAAAAACTTATACATAGTACAAAGAGAGTATCTATTCCATTATATTCTGGAATTAATTTATGTGACTTATAATAGCTTTTTAAAAACATATAATAATTGGGCTGGGGATATGACTCAGTGGTAGAGCCCTTTATTAACATGTGTAAGGCCCCGGGTTCAATCCCCAGTACCTTGAAACAATAAAATAATAAGAACTCCCCTCCAAAAAAAAATCCATACAATAATCCTACATTTAAATGGACTGTGTATGATAGATGCTATACAAATAGTAGAGAACTTCTCTAGGTCATTACCAATAGCAGAAGCAAAAGTGTAAAAACAAAATGCTTCTAGACATTAGAAATGTCTACAAAAGGGGACACAGTGACAGTATTGTCTGGCTTTCAATGTGATCACTTCTGAAGTCCTAAAATAAATAACTTTATACTCTGGTTTCTCTTCAGATTGTATAAATCTTTTGCCTTTTACTAAAATAAATAATTTTTTTCCTTTTAAAATTTATTAAATTCATTTTTCTGAGTGATGAAAGTCACATTATTTAAAATACATCTATATAATGAACCAGAGAACATGTACCTTTCCATTCCTCTGCTTCAATAATCACTTGAACTTGCAATTTTCAAAAATAATATACCAATAACTTAGTAGTAAAGTGGCTTACCATTCAAAAATAAAAGATAATTAAATCTATCCAGACAAGTACCTAGTCCAAACTGCTTAGCAGCAAAGTTAGACTGGATCACTGAATACATCAAAAAATGGCTTCCATAAAAACAAAAGTTTCCCAAATATTCCCTTTATTCTATTAAAATATAGCCTCAATTTGTTTCTGAACTCAGCCTTCTTTTTAATAAAGCAAAACCTATGCCAGGTATACACCTATAACACCAGTTACTCAGGAGACTGAAGATCCCAAATTTGAGGCTAGCATGGACAACTTAGCAAGACTTATTGAAAATTTAAAAAAAAAAGTATTGGGGATGTGGTGTGTTGGGGTGTTCAGTGGCAAAACAGCCCTGGCTTGATCCAATCCCCAAGACCACAAACACTAACCAACCAATCAACAAATCAAAAAGCAAATCCTGGGTTTAAATGGATCGTACTATATGACCATATATTGCTAGGACTAAAATTGTAGTTGGTTAAGATTAAAATGTAGAGGTCCGGCTAGATAGCTCAGTGGTTTGAAGCACTTGCTTAGGCAAGCACACAGGGACTGCAGTTCGATTCCCAGCACCACATGCCACACCAGCCCCACCCCCAGGGTGGGCTGAGTGGACCACCAAAAAAAAAAAGAGATTAAAATTTAGAACCAAATTATGTTTCAAATTAAGAACAACAGATTTGTGTCTCCCTGAAAATAAAACCTAACCAAAAACAATGTCTTGAAAACTAGAGATCAAAAATGCCAACCTCAATCCCCTTGCCTTACCTGCCATATAAAATAGCCACCAACACTGAGGTATAATCTGCATGACACTGGCCATCACCATGGTAACAACCAGAGTGTATTTCCCATTAGATCTTATTTTCAGGGAAAGTCTTACATTAAAAAGAAGTATTACCTTCATTCTTGACGCCAACAAATTGCAAATGGAAAAGGCAAAAAAAAATTAAAAATACTAAATTTTGGTTCAAAAGTTATTTATAAATGTAATTTTAGCTAAAGAAAAATCTGCCTCTAAACTGTTATTCAAGAATCCAAAATGAGAAAAATACAAATGCAAATTCAGCACTACTTCATTGTGCTAAAATAATTGCATGAAATATTTTGTCTTTCCCAGTTCAATGTACCTTTAACTTAAATACTTACTCTGAGCCTGCAGCCATTTCCAAGTATGATGCTTCTGCTGTATCAACCCCCAATGGGATCACTATGCTCATGACGTTCGCCTCTGGTAAATTCGATTACTATGGAGTCCTATGCATTGGTATCCAAAACACTGGGGCATGCCAGCCACAGTGCTCATTGCAAACATCTAAGTGCATCCACAAACCCTGTTTGAAAGAAATGGGAACAAAACAGTTAGGAACTATGTTAAGTAGCAACAATCACACTATAAATAAACAGTAAAACATATGAAGAAAACATTCTTTTTTAAGATCTTTCATATCAACAGAAATTTGTTCTAGGATATTTAGTTCACTACTTTTTCTAATTTCAGTCATGTGACTATGAACAAAGAAGTTTCTGGGGATGTAGCTAGTGATAGAACAACACTTAAGTGTGTCTGAGGCCCTGGGTTCAAGCTCCATTACCAAAAAGAAAGAGGAGAAGAAGGAGGAATAAAAGAGAGGTAGAGAGTAGTTAGTTTCTGGTTCACAATTTTCTTTAGGTAATGATTTATGATGCCACAGAAGATAACTACGGCATACTCTACTTTAAAAGACCAAGAATTTCTTGGTTCAGTGAATGATCTAACAGTATATTACCAACTTACAGAGTAAGCACCAAGCTTTTTGCATGCCTAGTCTATGTAACCCTCACAATTCTGAGATAGGTATCTCCATTTTATCACTAAGGAATACAAAGTTGAGAAAGGCTAAATAACCAATGTTTCCAATTTAAGAGATGACACCAAGATTGGAGCTAATTTTACTCTACTGCGTACACATGTACATAGATACACAAGAAAGACTACCTTATGTAATAAAATCAATAGTTTTACAGTGACAACCATTTTCCATTTTTAGGGGGAGGGGTTTAGAAATCAAACTCAAGAATTTGTGCTTGCCAGGCAGGTGCTGCACTGCTGAGCTTTATCTTGGCCCCTAGCATCTTCTATATTATATACAAGTATCAAGAGAATTCACCATTTTTCTAATGAATTTTAATTATTTAGAGTTAATATAACTAGTTAATGGAGAAAAATTAATAAATTTGGTGCTGTAAATACATGATAGTACCTAAAAGATGATTAGCTTTAACATCAATTTTACTAACTTAAGTTCATTTAGTAACATTTGCTATATGTATTTGTATAAAGTATCCATTTCAATTCAATTCTTTTCAATAATAACACAATATTGCTATTGCAGTTTTTCATTTTATAGGATTGTCTATGAAGAAAAGACATAGACAATCCTATAAAATGAAAAACTACAATAGCAATATTGTCCCTGTTCTTCTAGTGCTACACAGAAAATAAAGAAATGTTTCAAGTACATTCTGTATTTACTTTTAATCTTTACAAGTTTGAGAATACCTAATCAGGGGCCGGGAAGATGGCTCAGTGGAATAAACGCTTCCCTGGCAAGCACAAGGGCCTGAGTTCAATCCCCGGTTCTGCCAAAAAAAAAAAAAAGAATACCTAATCAGGTTAATTTGTATTTCATAGACATAGACTGTGAGTTCATACCCTATGGAGAAAACTATCAAAATAGGAAAATAGGGGCTAGGGAGATAGCTCAGCCATCTAAGCATCTGCCTGGCAAGCACAAGGACTCGGGTTCAATCCCCAGTACTGCATGTTATGCCTGTCATGAAAACCCTGTACCACATACACAAGTAAATAAAAGATTAAAAAGAATTAGGGAAAAAAAAAAAAAAAAAAAAAAAAAAAGAAAGTGGGTCAGGGAGATAGCTCAGCAGCATAAGTGCCTGTCTGGCAAAATAGGAAAATAAGGTATTAAATGATTTGAATTCTACAAAAAAAAAAGTAGCTTGTACTTTTATAACATGTGTAACTAAAAGAAAACTAGTAGATTATGTTATTATAATATGAAAATATACAATAAGCCAGGCATGGCGGTACATCGTATAGTACTCTATAGGCTTAGGAAGGAGGACCACGTAAGCCCAGACGTTCCTGACCATCTCAGGAAATATAGTGAGATCTTCCCTCAAAACAAAACAAAACCCAAAGAAAATTACTACAAAACTACAGGAAACTACACCTAAAAAATTAAAACAAAAACAACAACAAAAAAAACCTCATTAACTTTTGAACCTGCTCATACCACTAACAAGAAGTGCTAGGCTGGGCAAGATTTTTTAACCTTATAATTAGGTTTCATGTTCATTTACCTTCATTGAGTTTCTGTGAATGAAATAATAAATGTAAAGCATTTCAAAGAACACATTACACATATTTCCCAATTGAGGCACAGTACAGAGTATACATCCCTAACCTGAAAGTATGAAATTTCACATGCTCCAAAGTCTGTTCAGGTTTCAGAGTTTCAGAGTTTGAGTGAAAATGCTCAACTTTATTACAAAAACTGGAGAAAAAAAAAAAAAAAAAGCTCTAAATCTGAAATAATTCTAATCCGAAGCATATTTAATAAGTGATACTTGAACTATAAAAAAGAATTCCTCTTACTATATCAAAAATAATATGTGAATAGAAAAACACTGTACTTCTCATTTAGAGAAAATTCTCTAATAGCTTTTTTAAAAACATCATTTTCTACACGCCATGTTTTTATAATGTGCTCCACAAATTAAAATCGCCCCACCTACGATGACTAGAACATTGAACAAAAGACAACATTGCCCTCCTGCTTTTCTCTATCTACAACCATGTTACAGGTATTCCGTAAATGCCCTGTTTATTAACCAGCACAAAACTATAAAATTATGCAATTTCTTGAGGCAAGTACAAGCAATGTAGTAGCTTATAATTTTGTTCTATTCAAATGTACTATTCTGTATTTCCTTAACTACTATGCTGAAGACCTAGACTAATAAAGGTAACAATCACAACTAAAAAACTTTTCCTTGTTGACAGCATCAAGTTCATAGATGTTTTCTTCAGCTCAGGTTATTCTTGTATCAGATTTATAAGATGGTCATTATGTATTCTTTCTTTATTAAACTATATATTATGTAACTGAGTAATCTGATCTAAAGTGATCTATTAGGTTATATATTTAATAGTGTGCACCTTTTAATACAACTGTACAATCATCACTATATACCACCTTTGAGCTATCTTTAAAAAGCAGCAGAGTGCTATAAGCCTGTTTGAAAAATGCCTTTCACTTGTTTGATTGCTGCCTAACTCCCAAACCCTGCGCAGTGCCTAGAACATAGCAGTACTCTACAAAAAAAATTAGTAAATGGGTAAGAGCAACTGGGATGAAAACATAGGTCTGGCCTTCGTTACCCAGTGACCATCACACTATACATCAAGTGCTGTAAAAACAGCTACATGACACCTCCAGAAATATACCTCTCTAAAAACACAGAAACTCATCCTCAGGATAAAGACACCATTATATCTGAAACAGAACTACAGCCTCTGAGTTTGATTCAATATGAAAGAACTTCATAATTTATTCACACAAGAAGTCACAGGTGCACTAAGGCCATAAAATGACAAATATTTCACTATTTCCAATTAATATCAAAAGTTCTATAGCCAAAACACTCATACTAATTTAAAACTTGGCTTATATTTAATAAAATAATAAACTTACTAGCGTAAGTTCACTGTCTCTAAAATTAATTTTTGTCAAAGAGGAAAGCAAACGTAGAAAGCAAAAAAAAGAAATGAGCATACAGCATAGGCATAAGAGAGCAAACAGTTACTATAAATTTTCAAATATGCAAGTCAAAAAACTGATCATCCGATCGGCAAGTAAGTGTTATACAAAATATACTGAGAATGGCAGCCATTAAAGAAATAATATAAAAGGAAATACCATGAGATGTCTGGAAAATCTGAGATCCAAGAAAGAACAAATGTCTTCACAAAACCTGCTATCCAGAATAGACCTAGAAACCAAGTGAACACAGGAGTATTGAGCTATTTTCAAATGGCATAAAACTCAGGTATTTCTGACTAATCTAGCACCTAAAACGGAAGGAACTCATACAACAGCAGCAGATCCTTTAAAAGATCAACTTATTCCTCACTGTTTCACAAAAAAAAATAAATAAATAAACACAAGTAAAGGTAAAAATTTAAAGTTAAATATGCTGCCGTGCCGGCCCCGCCCCCATGGTGCACTGAGACAGCGAATGAGACTGGGCATGGTGGCGCGTGCCTGTAATCCCAGCTCTTGGGAGGCTATAAACAGGTGGATTACTACGAGTCCGATCTAGTAGTGAGACCCTGGATATCCCGTAGACCCTGCCCTAATGAAAAATAAATAAATAAATAAATAAATAAATAAAGTTAAATATGAAGTCAAACTGAAAAGAAACTTGGAAAGCAATATTAAAAGCAAATTTGGTTTAAAAAAAAAAAA